ACTGGCAAGAGGTGCACGAGTTATGTTGACTGCAAATATATGGACAGAAGCTGGTTTAGTCAATGGCTCATTAGGAACCATACATGACATATTATTCGAAGAACCAGGTCCTCCATGCGTTCCTACAGCAGTTTTTATAAGCTTTGATGATTACAAAGGCCCTACAGTCACTAACGTAGAAGGCGTAAAAGTTGTTACGATTACTCCAATTCGACGTAACTGGGAAGGTAAGTCTGGAACAATATGTTCCCGTTTCCAGCTTCCTGTCCGTCTGGCGTAGGCAATTACGGTACATAAAAGCCAGGGGCTTACCTTGCCAAAGACTTTTATAGACCTTGGTGGCAAAGAATTTGCGGCCGGTCTTTCGTTCGTCGCAACTTCTCGGGTCCGTACTCTTAAGGATCTCCTTTTCAAACCGTTCAGTTTTGAAAGGCTGCAGAGAATTAAAGAGTGTAAAAGGCTGCAAGAAAGGAAAAAAGAGGAGGAACGGTTAGTTTCCATGATACCTTAAATTGAGAATAATATTTGGTTAGAATGGGTAAATCGTATAAAACACAAGAAATAAAAATAAAAACTTAGCTAAATATTGTTTAAACGTCGGGTTGAATAGTTTAGTGCAACGTGTCAGTTTATTAACTTGTAATCTTATCATTATAAGCCACAAAAATATTACCAGAAATGAACTCACGACTACAGAATTTTATAGTTAGGGATAGTATTCAATACACGTCACTCTCGATATAACGGACACTTGACATAACGGAGACTAAGTAAAATCTTGATATAATGGACATGGTTCAATGATAGATTACAGTGCCCGGAAAATGTACCGTTGATTATTGAATCACCTGAACTTAGAAATTACTGAACACCGAAGATTGTACAACCAAATAAACATACTACGGATTAACTATCATAACACTAAACGATACGCGAAATACAAAAATTTACAAATTAGCTTGGGAATATAATTTATTAAACAATAGTTAGATACAATAGTCTATTTTATTACAATAGC